CCAGCAAGTAGCTCTGGTCAGACACTTGGAGGCCCATATAAAACTGGAGGCAGAGAAGGGAKTCCTGGAGGTCTCCAAAGCAGCCTCCTTCCAAATAGAGCTAATATCAGGCTTATTTGCCTGCTTACCCCATGAAAATAAATCACACTAGATGATTAGATGACATCACATCAGGTGGAGCCACACAGCTCGTCTTCTCCCTTTTGTTAACACATTGCTTTTTATATCCTGTAGAAGAAGCATCTGGTGACTTACAATGCTGAACGYTGAGGATTTCCCCAGACGTCTTGGCCTGGAATCTGCTCGGGTTTTTTTGTTGCTGATGGTTATTTTTATTCATTTGTTTTTACTACATTTATGCTTTTACTGCCAAAAACGTTCAGGCATGATTGCTGTCGTTTGCTCAATCTAGTTTGCATGAAGCCTTTTCAGTGAGATAGAATCCAGTAATAAAAGAATTTTATTAAAAGATGTTCCAGTCCTATGCTAATTACTCAATATCACAAAACAGAACAAAATGACATATCAGAAAAAGATGGGCTACAGATCTCTTGCTTAATCATATATTCATATATATTGGATTTCAGTGAGCTTTACCATCAAAAGCATTCTTTGCACTCTCCTTCAACAGGACAGCAAATAGTTGCCAGCCCATACAGAAAGAAATGGCCTACTTGAGGTTTTGGAATGAAATCTTCCCTTCTTGTGCATATTTATGCTCTCCAATGTTTTATTTCAAAAAATACAGATTTAAATATCTAGAGGAAACATAATTGCTAGTTACATGGTCCATCTAAATTAAGCAATGACACTGTCGTGCAGAATCATGGCCTTGTCCACATGGAAGAAAGAATATGTTTATCTGATCAATTTTTTGTCCTTGTTCCAGGATGCTTAAAGGCGTCATCTAATGCAGGGGAAAACTGTGACAACCTATTCCTGTAGCCAGAAATCTCCCATCAGTAAATTAAATTCACTTGAGTGGAGAGCTACCAAGATGTTTGAGGAGTGAAGCATCCATAATGCACCAAAGAAGGCTGAGGGAGCAGGATTTGTTGAGTTTGGAGAAGAGTAGGAAGAGAGGGTAATTTCATTGTTAGTCTTCTCCTATTTAATGAGTAGCTACAAGGGAAATTTCCATTAGGCAAGGGAAAGGTTTTCCCCATGAGAGTGACGCAACCCTGCAATAACAATCTGAGAAGTGGTGGAATCTCCATCCTTAGAGATATTCCAGTTAGATATGTCTATCTTAACTAGATAAGGCTAGACTCTGAGCAACTTAATTTTTTTGGATTTATTCCTGTTCTGAGCAGATATTTCAACTAGCAACCTCCATCTGTCCCTTTACACGTTATTTTATTTTTCCTATTTGATTTTGTGATTTACAATGATAAACTGATTTATTCTGCAGTCCTCAGTTCATCTGGCTGTGCTGCGCAATACCCCTGTGGCTGAAAGGCCTGTAGCACAAGCCATTTCCACATGTTGCACTGCATTTTTGTCACAACTGCAGTGAGTTGGCCCTGGGCCCGTCTAATGCCATAGGGATCTTCGTGAGCCCGTGCGTACTTTCTCACAGAAACCCTCCTTCTTCTTCTCTGACTGTGGAAATTTCCAGCTATTTCTTCACTCATAAGTGGGTAGCCAAGTTATTCCATGCCTTGTAAGGGCTGTTATGCATAGATTTATCACGGAATTACAGGTAGAGCATGATAACTGCAGTTTCCTTTATTCTGATGATCTACGTCTAAAATATTTATCCTGGAACCCTTTTGATGGTTTGGATTTTTTTTTTTTTTTTTTTGTTCCATTTAACTGTCTAGTAACTGCATGTAATATATGAGAACACTTTAGCACTTCTTCCCTTTCAAGGACTGCATGGCAAAAATGGTCCTTGACAGGGGTGAGGCCCAAAGCTAGTCCCTGATGATTTGTTCCAGTCAGTTCCACTGGAATTGCTTGCAGCAGAAGCTCCCAGTGGCATTTGCTCCTACTTCAGAAACCACTTCTCTTATCTCCTTCTTGAAATCATTCCTGCCCAGTTTAGAAATCAATTGTGATCTTTAAGAAGCTCTTGTTTCTCTCCAGTTTTTCCTTACTGACAGCAGCCTGTTCTCCCCTCAGTGTTCATCCTTTTTACTGTGGACAAGACAACTTTCTCAGGCTTTTCCCATTAGATTAGATTGCTTAGCTCACCTTTCCCGCCCCCACCTCTCTACCCTGGCCAATGTGCAGCCTAGTAGAGCTGGTGAGTAGGAGTGTGAGTACAGATGCATGATAAAAACTAATGATATGACCGAGCTCCTCCCCTACTTAAGAGTCATTTAAAGTGGGCCCTCAAAATAGGTGCAAAATCCCAGAGGCAAAAAGGAGTCAACTGAACATGGATATGGTTAGGCTGGAAATCATGATCTTCATTAGAGCTGCAGTTGCTGAAAAAACACCTTGAAGGTTAGGCAAGACCCAGCTGCTTTTGAAACAGAAGCATGACGGGTCCAGATGCTACAGCTCCTTGCAAAAGAAGAAAGTTGCGTGTAAGGATTTCAGTATCTGTGGCTTTGGAGCCTAAGCATTTTCTTATTTCTGAGCTGACTATCCTTCTGTGGTGAGTTGGGAAAGGCATATTTTTTATTTCCTCTTTTGGTTCTTCCCTTCTCCCACACTCACCGGAGAGACTTACCAGCTTTTGATAAAACCATATACATTGAATTTAGCTTCATATCCTTCAATATCTGGTGTGTCCTTGAGATCATATTGTCCTTAGTGCTTTGAGAGTACTGACTCTGGGTAGAACAGCTTGTTGATGTCAGATAATGGTTATTCCACAGCCTCGCGATGCTACAGAGAGAGCTACCTCACTTCATTAGTAATGTGGTATATTAAAGAACTAATGAGTTTTCACAATTTTTTTTCCCCCCGATATCTTGTGTCTGCTTTAACTGGAGATTTTTTTTTTTTGTCTTTCATTCAAGTTCTGGTTCTTGTGCTCTTATATTTAAATTGTATTCAGGAGTTGCCATGTTCCTCTAGATAAAATACAAATGTGCTAAAGCTCGATTCCTGTTTTGTCATGCCTTTACATCTTATAAAAGTATAATTTCATTACAGCCTTTGCTGAAATCATTTGAAAACTTGTATCTGTAACTAAAAATAAAGCGTTTTCAGTGGTTTGCAATGAATTTATATTTGCATGCTTTCCTGACTTTAGATATTTTGGGAAAGTTTGCATGAACAGAACTCTGTAAGATTTTTTACTCTCTGGTTAGATACCTGGTAATAACAACTTTGATTGGAAAGCCCCAGCTCTCCTTGTCTTTTGTCATTCCTTGTTGTTAAAAGTCTCTTTCATCGGCATCACCTTTCAGGAACATCTCTAATTGTGGCTCAAACTGAATAACGTGGTTGTCAAAACACCTTCCACCCAATTGTAAGAGGTTGTAACCATTATTGATGAGAAATTAGAAAGATTAAGGAGCATAAGGAGTGTAACTGTTTCCTTGATCAGAACTTGATTTCTGGATGAACATGTCACCTGTCACCGAGTATCTAAGAATCAAACTCAAAGGCAACTGATCACTGTGGTGCCAACACCAAGGGCTGGTAGCTGGTTGGAGAGCTAGAAGTGCCTTGATTCTGTGTATGCATGAGGTGCCTGTCTTTTGTACATGCTGATGCAGGGAGACACGGGTGTATGTTAACTCAGAAAGCCCTTCTTTGGGATGCCCATCACCCACAATGGTATGTCCACCGTCTYTGCTTTGCCTGCCTCTCCTGGGGTTGACCTCAAGTCATAGACCTCAAGAAAGCTGAGTGGCATGAAAAACAGGAGGTGAAGAGCTGCTGGCTAAACCTTGGAAGCAGGGAGCACAGTAGATCCCTTTCTTTATTATCATGTTTTTTCCCAGCTTCTTCATGAATTATTGTTCAGGCTGGTTCATTTTATTATTGCATGGAATTAGATCTTATTTTCCCAGCTGCAAGTGGTGGCCAGAAGGTTTTATAGGCGCTCTGAATGCGTTTGATAATGTGCAGCTCCTGGTCCTATTTGGAATTTAATATTGTTACTCCTCTTCTAAATGCCAGTAGCTTGAGCAAGGCCTGTTGTGCAGCTGCTGAGGCACTAATCTTTTTACATTTGGTGTGACAGTACTTTTCATGCTTCGGTTTTGAAGTTGAAATACTGACAAAATACTCTCAGGACAAAACAAGTAGAACCTGATTTATTTCTTAAGTATGCAGATGCTGTCTAAACATGTGCCTGCCTCTGGCTATGAAAACAACAGGAGCAGCAGATCTTGCTTTTGTCTAGACATGTGGCAATTGTGTCACTTTTCCCACTCTGATTGAAGACTGGCCAATTGCTAAGCCTCGTTTCTTTAATGGCTACATCTGTGGGGCAGGAACTGGCTGCTAAGAGCATTGCTTTTCTTYTTCTTCTTCTTCTTATTTCTTCATAATACTAGTTTCTGATTTCCTGCATCTGCTGAAGTCCACTCACTTTTACACTCATGCTTCATGTTTCCCAAAGGAGAGTGAGAAAGCTAGGAGAGTGCAACAGCCACGTGTTTATCCTATCCTGACCATCCTGCTGCCTCCAATAAAGACTTTCTCACAGTTTGTTTTGTTTTGTTTTGTTTTGTTTTTAAAGTTCCCATGCACAGCATTTGATAAAGACATTCTTGTGACACAATGCCCTGAAGACCGTCTCTTCCAACCCCGACCCACCTTCCCACTCAACACAAACCACTTGCTATTGCATGTTTTCCTGCACTTGCCRTTCTGCTCCTACACACACTCTGCGGCAGCTTGCTGGCTAAACCGGCTTTCCAATGTTACTTTAGCTCCAAGCAGCAAACAGCCTTTCTGAAGCACCTCTCCCAAATCTTGTTCCAGCTTTGCACCACCCACATGTAGCTGATCAAGCAAATCTAAGCTCTTCCCCAAAGTAGCAGACACTAGTTACTCATTTCCAGCTCTGTCTAACGCTCTGGGCTGAAGGGATGGATATACTGCCCATTTCCTATCCCTTTATTTTTCTGCTCATCACTTTTCTAGTCTTTTATAATGTGAATCCCAGATTCAAATACTTCTGCAAGATGACCTTCTATAAGTTGTGGATCTTCATCATTTCTGGTCTTGTTGTTATTGTGAGCATTCCTCGTGGACGTAACCCGGAAAACATGAAGTAAGTTGTCTGTTAGTTTTTTTTTTTTTTTTTTTAAAGCTTTAAGCATTAATGGAATTGATTTGCTCTCTATTTGGTGGCCCATGGGAGTTCTGCTGCCGTGAGGAGGAATTAGTTGTATGTTGGTGTGGAGAGTTGCCAGGCCATCTAATTCAGAGGAAGGATATGGTTTTCAGAATCTTATTTATTTGCAACCAGTTGCAGGACTTAACTGGAGAGTGCATAGCTGGATGTATTTGTGTGAGCTGCGATCAGTAGCAGTATACAATAGTAAGACATGCTCTTGGGATGGGGATTGAGTGGGGGGCTAAGAGTCAGGAAAATACTTCTGCTGACTCTGTTACAAGCAAGTAACTTCTAGTAGATAGGGCTTGTAGCCTCCTGAGATGCTACAAAAGTAGGATTTATTATGCCGTAGATATTGTATGCTGTAGTGGGAGTTCCCAGGTGTACCTCCTCCATAAGCCTCAGTCTTTCATTTAAAGAATTTTTCTTCAGTTCAATTGTTTTGTGCCTTTCTTCTTTTTAACACCCATTGATGATGATATATAATATTTTAATGAAATTACGAGCTGAAGGGTGGTACTGTTATGCTCCTGGAGACAAGTTATGGAACAAGTCTGGGACGGCAGAAAGACAGGCTCACAAGAGCAAATTGTAAGACAGAGTAGTTTGGATGGGAAGGATTTGACCCCTTCATCCAATTTCAGCTTCTGTCTGGCTCACATCTGCTCCCCGTTTTTCAGATATTTGCAAATGCTGTTACTGCCACTCAAATACATCTTTGGTATCAAGATAGTGGTGAAAGGCAAGGAGAACCTCAGAACTAACAAGCCCGCCATACTTGTGCTGAATCACCAGAACTCCCTTGACATTACGGGTATGTAGAAATTTTGCCTGCCCTGCTCTTGGCCCCAGTGCTCTGGGCAGGGCAGTAGTATGAGAGGAAATCCAACTACTTCAGGGGACTTGCAGGGAGGGAGCATMAGTCTTGGCTTGTCTCTAAACACGAGTACCACAGGGATGGCAGAATGATAAGAGTATTGGCTGTGAATTAATTCACCTCCAATCAGTCCCAAGCCAGGGTTCTTCAGGGCATTATAGTCAAACAAAAACTTTCCAGCTGAACTGGCTTCATATTTTTTATTCAAGAGGACTAGGATAACTGACTGACCACAACTGTATCGTAGCTGCTCTAACTCAGTGTTGGCAATGGTCCTGCTCTAAGTGGATGGTTGGTCTGGAGATCTCCATTGTGCCTTTCCCAACATGCTTATGACAGGGTGATGTTGGGTGGTCTAGTAGGAGGTGCAGGCATGACATCTCCCAGCTTAGAGGCTGGAGGGAACCTCAGGGAAGATGCCAACTTCTTCTGTCCCTGTTTTCCCCTTCCAGTGATGATGGAGATACTACCAAGTCGCTGTGTGCCCATTGCAAAGAAGGAAATCCTATACATGGGTACCTTTGGCCTGGCATGCTGGCTTTCGGGTATAATTTTCATTAATCGGAAGAAGAGAGAAGAGTCTATCAATATCTTGACAGAGGTGGCRCACTCCATGAACAAAGAGAATGTGAGTGGGGAGAACAATTTGAAGGGGAGCAGGAAGCACTTTGTGCCACATGAAAATGTGCAATTTGTTGTGGCTGGAAGGSGATTTTTTGTCTCTGGGCTGAACACTGAACCCAATGGGGTAGGAGTACCTCAGATGGGATGCAAGATGGTCTTGCATGTCCTGAAAGTGTTTGTGATGGAGAAAGTGGACGTATCCGCATGGCTGGGAGCAGACAGATCGTTCTTGAGTGGTGTGCAGTGGTCTGAGATAGTGCTGGGACTGTGGTCCCTCCATCTCAATGTCTTCTTCCTCCTGCAGTTCCAAGTCTTGATCTTCCCTGAAGGAACACGTAACCATGCAGGGTCCATGTTGCCTTTCAAACGTGGAGCCTTCCAGTTGGCAGTAAAAGCCCAGGTAAGAGACACCTTCCTCCCACCACACTGGGATGCAGTTTTCCTTCCATAATCCACAACCAACCCAGAAATATAAGGCTTCTGGTCCATAGCTTCCTTTGGGAATGAGCGGATGTTGAAGAGCCTAGCAAGAGCTAGGAGTGGCACAGGCTAGGCTGGGTGGAAAACATCTGTCGCTCAGATGGAAAAAATGGTGGATGGATCCTGACAAGACCCCTGGATCTGCATGCAAGAGTTTCTTCACAGGTCCTGCAGAATAGTCCCCTGTAAATAGTGATCTGGCCATCTCTGCACTGTTGACTTCAATACAGAGCTTAAAGGTGAAATCCAACAGAGAGAACATTGGAAAATATGGTTACTTGATCTAAGTAATCCTCTGAAATTCTACTAGAAACTGTCTAATTATCAGTGATACACAATAACTCATCTGAGAACATTGGTTCCTTTTTTATTTTTTTCTTGGGTGGAGGAGGGATGGGGAGATTTTTAAACTCACTCACTGTAAACTTGTAAACTGTCTTCCCTTCAGGTCCCCATTATTCCCGTGGTGATCTCTTCATACGACAGCTTCTATAGTCAGAAGGAGAGGAGATTTACAACAGGTAAGGGTAAAGCASAGGGGAGAGAAACTGCTGATCTCTCTTTCTCATTGATATCTGGGTGTTGGTACTAGCTAAGTCCTGCTAGTCAGCTAAGCCCTTAGAGGGAGCGACAGGATGGATGAGCAGAGAACTGTGTGCAGCATGCAGATAGCAATCAGACAAAGGCAGTCTTGGGGGAAGGAAGGAAGGAAGGGTGAGATTTCAGACAAGAATTCTGCCTTGTTCCATGAATTTCTCATCTCTTGCTCAAAACCTGTGCCAGGGAATCTGGGAGAAACAGCAGAAACTTGGGGCAGAGTCTTCTCTTTGCTCCACTGCACTGTCTTTGCAGATGCGTAGAAAATTGCAGAACAAAAGGAAACAGAGAGCTCAGAAAATGTCTATATGACATTTATAATAATATGACATATTATAATACGTCATATATAGTATGACATAATAATATGACATATATAATATGACGTATGACATTATGACATATATAATATGACATTTGTAATAATGACAAACTGTTGGCCACTGATAACTTTTCATGGAGGAAAAAAGATACAAGTCCTGGACTTCAAAAGGAAAATGCAGAAAAAAAAATCTGCCAAATAGACTGTGTCTGGTATCAAGTGCTTTCTAGTACTGGACACATGGGAGTCAGGAGCATGAACAAGGATTTTAGCTGTCTGTCCTGCTGTTAGCCTGCTCCATTCCCTCTTCGTCCATAAGATGCCTGCTCAGTTCTAGTGCACTTTCCTGGAGAATCAGAGGGGGCTTCCTGGTAAGAGTCATCTAGAGTGGGATAGTAACCTCTGGAGTAGTCCAGCCTCTTCCTTTGAGGAATGTTAGCTCCAAAGATAGAACAGGTTGCGCTGTGTCTCATCCAGTCCAAAGAGAAAGATAGCACAACCTTTCTGGACTTGTGAGAGAAGACTATTTGCAACTGTACGTACATTTGTCCTTATTTGTGCTATCACCTGAGGTGTTCACAGTTACCTGGGATTTCTGTGACTCCTAAACATGTTGCAGGGCCAGTCATTCCCAAACTGCTGATTATTAAGATCCTCACTGGTAGGATCTTCACTGATAGAGAAAGAACCACAATGAACTTTTCCTGTAATGTCCTCCATGGCCCGTCCCCACTCCATCCCCTTACTTTACCACATGGAGGTTTTGCCAGAGTTTGTAGTTGTTCTGTATAGGGTGACAATTTCTGCATGTCAGGGTGGAGGATCCTTTAGGTCAGGAGAGCAGGGGCTCAGGGTATGCTGATAAACTTTGGGAAAGCCCAATCTCTGTCTTGGGTGGAATGAATGTTGTGGGTCTGCATGCCTTTTCTTTTAAAAAAAAGACTTCATGCCTCTGCTACACCTTCCTAGCATGGCTGTGCTAGCAACCCTTCTGGTTCTCATTTTATAGCACACATGTAGAGGCATGAAAACATGCTAAAACATTAAAAATGCACCAYTCAATCACCAGGTCTTCAGGCAGGTCTATGTACAGGTGGTGTCTTGTCCTCTGGCAAGAATAAAAGCCAGTGGGTGGAAGAACAGAGGAGTATAATGATCACTTTTTCAGTGCTCTCATCCTGCCTCCTGACTGTCTGTTGCTTAAATTTGCTACCTCTCAGCCAAAGAGGCCTGTCGTCATTGCTCTCCCAATCTGCATTTCTGGAAAAGGCAGTTCTGCTCTATTGAGTATACATGATCCGAGCATGGCCAGGCTGGATGTGGTGTGTTACAGAYATCTCACCCTCTTTGCCCTCATCTGGACAGACTTTAAAGTCTCAAACTACCCAGCAGTGGGTAATTTCAATCCACTGTGAAAGCTGACTTTATTCCTACTGCCTGTACTCTGTTTGACAACTCACAATGCCCCTTTATTCCMTGTGAATTATTGCTTAGGATGTTCTCTGGAGCTAGTGTAAGAAAGAGATTCACCTGGGGACAAGGATTTGGGTAAATAATGTGTGTATTTGGGACGCAATGGGGTTGCCATGTGAAAGAGGGCATTTCCATTTCTTTCTGTCTTGTTCCTTTGTTTACACTGATCTCTATGTTATATCTCCTCCAACTTTCCTATAACCCTCTGACCCTCCTGTCTTACTTCTGTAGGGAAGAGCACCATCCAGATCCTGCCAGCAGTGGAAACCCAAGGCCTGGGCCCAGATGATGTTCCCAAGCTCACCGAGCAAGTCCGTGACTCAATGCTTGCTGCCTATCAGGGGATATCAGGCATGACAAATGGAGCTTCCCACTAGTGATCCTGTCTTTCAGCTCCAGGAGCTTAGGGATAGGGCATGGCAGCCACGGGAAGATCTGAAATCACAAACCTCCCTGAATTACAACATTGACATACCAGTGATGGGCAAAATACCCTCAGTGGAAGGAAAAACTTTTAAATAAGTAGGGGCTGGTGAAATCTTTCCTTTGTTGCTGCCAAAGAACCACTTGTACAACCTAAGCTGTGCCCTAAACACACCATGGAYAACAGAACATGTTGTTTAATTATAACCCAAGGTCCTCTGTCCAAGTGGACACCAGCCAATTTCAGGTAGATGCAGACCCTTCCTGTGATCCTTGCTACATGTTTATAATCAACTTTTTCTACTCAAAACCAACAATGTGGAGACATTTGTCTGTGGGACCATGGTGATTCAACCAGATGTTGGGTCCTGCAGCTGGCACTCTTGGAGAAGAGATTGTACAGCTTGAGGCAGCAGGTTCCATTCACCTGGAAGTGCGTTCAGAAGGAAGCACTGTCTCTTTTGCTTTCAGTGCCTGGGCTTGAAACTTTGAGGGGAATGTGTCCAAGGGACTGAAATGTATTGCTGAAGACTCTAGCTGTACCCTGATAATCATATGATTTTATGATTTTTTTTTAACACAATCTAAAGATTTTCAATTCAAATATATTCCAGAATTACTGATTTTTAAATATTGCCTGGTTTTACTCTGTCTTCTAGTCTACGCTGGACCATGGACAACAGAGCACTACAAAACCAAACAGAGTCTGAGCTTCATGCACTTAGCTTCATTTCTGCTGTATTATTAAGACAAAAATGATGGTATGTGTTTGTATATGCATCAAACATGGCCTAAAAGAGACAGCAGCGCACCATGATCCCCAAGAAGTCCTACAAGGATGCATTTGAGAAATGAGTGAGGCTCTGTGGGCATAAGAGACCTTGATCCAGTCAGTGCTGTTTGGGAAACCAGACTGCACAGCCAGCATGCCATAGTGTCAACTGCTATATCATTGCATACCACCCAGACCTGGGTGGTGGCATTGGTCTACATCAGCCTCCCTGGTTCATGGATGGGCAGCAGCTCTTTGGCCTTCTTAGGTGAGATGGGCTTGACTCAGCAGCACATCTACATGGCAAAGCCTGCTTGCGTGCTCTGTAGGCAGGGACTATTACATGGTTGGTACTAGGCACCTGTATAATGGCTCCTCATCAGAGAGGCACCTGCTTCACCAGGAAACTTTAKACAAGAGTCTAGCTTAGGTTGCTAGAGTCTTGCTTACATATCCTTGCTCTCATTTCCTGCCCTCCTCCCCACCTGAGCCAAGAGATGGAAACAATACAATTTGTACTTGTTCACCTTAGGATTTAAATAATAGATGCCTCTAGGCATCAAGACAGAATTGCATTCTCCAGCGTCTTTAAAGACGAAAATCTCTGTGCTAATTACAAACAATCCAAACAATTTATGCTCCTATACAAAACAAGGAGATAAGGAAAGTTGTGATAATGATTACATGAACTTAGTGATTTCTGAGAAGGATAAGAAGTTTGATTTATGATGATCATTAGTGTTTAATTAGCTGTAATGTAGAGAYTATAAAAAAAGCTGATGTTTAAATCCTGTTTTGTGAGAGCACTGCAGCTTCCAGATTTGTCAGTCCTTCAGAATGGGAAGTATAATATTTCTGTCTTGGTTGCTAATGTCACTGCAGAGCCATAAATGATACCGCACCTAACTGAGTCTTGTCAACTTCTGAACATTTTTTAGGACAACAGAAAACACAGTGTCACATCCCTTCTGTCTGAAGGGCTGCACTGCTGAAATATTTTACAAATGAATGAACTAAAGAACATCATAGCACAGCAGATACAAGAGTAGATGCAGTTTTGAGCTTTTTTTTCTGGCAGAAGCACATGCAAGAGGCTGAACAGCCAGCAATCAGATTGAGAAGTGTGATGTAGGCAGCAGTTCTCCAAGAGCAGCTCAGCATCATTAGGAGTTTCCAATGTTAATCTGAGGAATAAGATTAGAAATTGTCAATTAAACACCAAAGGCTTCTGAGAGATAAGAAATCTTTCCAGGACACACTATTTCACCTCACATTTTTTTCCTTTACTCCACAGTTCCTGAGCACTCAGTACCCACAGGCAGATATCCAGGTTTGCCTGTTTATCCTTTTAGCTCAAAGTTACTGCAGTACTTCTTGCCCCTTTCAGTGACCTAATACCAGCGAGGTCTTTGGGGACAGTTTCTTGGCACTTGTGAATGTTTAACTTCTGTCAGTAGCTGTTTAACATACTGGGATTGTAATGCTGCAAGGTTATACAAACGTGGTTCAGATCCTTTCCAGACTGGTAGTTAAATTGTCTGATCTACTGGCTCAGACAATTTCAGTGACCATAAAAATAAGTAAATAGAACTATTCAGGAAGTGTCTATTTTTTAGAGAGGTGGAGAGAAGGAACTGGAAGAGAATCCCAAAGACTGGGATGGAGTCACCAACACATAGAGTCTTTACATCAAGTGGGAGTRTGTCTTGCTTAAAAGTAAGTCTTTGTCTCAAAAAACAGTTCATTACACTCAACCTGGAAACTGCATGGAGATGCTTTCCAGTCTGTTCCTTGCAAAAGGACACAGGTGATCCTAATATATTGTGATAGACCACATCTGGTTTGCTAGAAAGAAAGCTCTAGATACATTCTTCTCAGGCCAAGCTTGTCTTAGTTCTCCCTTCATCCCTTCCATTTGGGAATGCCTATGCCAAATATATGTCAGCAAGAGGTCAAAGCTAGTGCTTGTTCCTACATAATTGCTGTTTTACTGTCTTTCCTGTGAAGAATGATCTAAATATCTTGGAACAGATTATGGTGACTTGGAATGTCAGACTGAGAGAGCTGGGCCTGTTCAGCCTGAAGAAGGGAGGCTGGGGGCGGGTGGGGAGTGGGATACCAGTGTATAGAAACACCTCAGGGAAGGAGTGAGGAGGATGGGGCTGGCCTCTTTTCAGTGGTGGTCACTGTTACTACTAGAGGAAACGGCCACAAACTGAGGCACCAAAAGTTCCATAGGAACTTAAGAAGTTTTTCCTTAACAATGAGGGTGACAGAGCCCTGGCCCAGGCTGCCAAGAGAGGCTGTGGAGTCTCCTTCTCTGGAGATCGTCAAAACCCACTTGGATGCAGCCCTGTGCCACATGCTCTAGCTGACCCTGTGTGTGCAGGGCAGTTGGACTAGATGATCTCTAAAGATTCCTTTCAATCTTAAGGATTCTATGATTCTATGAATAAAACATTTAGAGGAACACATGTTCACAGGAGCCAAAATAGTTTGGGTTTCCTGGAATTCTCCTAGTTGAAGAGGAAGAGAGAGCCTGTAAGGAATGATTAAGGTGACAGATTGCAAGAGACTAGACTAGCAGGGGATCTGTCTAGCTGAGCATAGAGCTGAATGGATAGTCAACATGTTTTGAGGGGCAGAGACTGCAATGACCTTAATTCTTTTATTTTTCCAAGTACAGAGAAGTCTGATCTTGCAGGACATTTCTTATTTTTGATGAGYCTCAGGCAAGAATAATCTGTTGCATACCTTTCATGCCACTTGCAGGCTAATCTTTCCAGGATGAGAGGTTGAGTGTGCTGATCTCACGGCAGTCTACAAAGTCCTTGGGATAACTGCTGACCTTGAACATGTCCTTGGGTACCTTTTTGATATGAGTATTGTCACAGATCAGCTTCGACAGGGAGATTTTTTCTAGAGCATTCATCTGCTGTCGAGTAAAAACTCCTGGGTTCTCCCACCAGAACCTGCAATGATATTTTCAGAAGCATTTCATTGTCACTTTGAAGGCATTTGGTGCTAGGTATTTGACAAAATGAAAATCTGTCCAAGGTGAATCCCTGCTCAGATCCACCTTGACTCATCAAGCACTATGTGCACCCATTTGAAAAAGTGTCTCCAGGGGGATGCCAGCCAGATCTGGATTTTTCCACACTCATTATCAGGGCAGAGAGCCCCTCTTTTTCACATAGCCTCACAGAAGATGTAGTGACTGATGCTCCTCATTAGTATCCTGAGACCAATGTCACTTCRGTCAGGAACAACTGCAGATCATCCATGGCATGGAGTTGGCACTCCCCAGCCGTATGGTCTGTAAGCAGGGGCTGCAAATAGAGCCTGCTGGCAATTGGGACTAAAACCATAGTGCAAGTCCTGCTGGGGTGTGGACTGGATCAATGTGTGGCATAAACTGTCACCATTTTTTACCATAGCAAACGGCTTGCTCTTAGAGCTACCTACCTGTCCCCATCACGAAGATTCCTGAATTGGGTGGCAATAATGCAGGTGAGAAGAGGACCGACTCTGCCCTGAGGAACAAAAGGCTCTGCGATTGCTCCAATCCAGAAGTCGATATTTTCTGGTTTCCCATACAGATCTATAAACTTTTCAGCCAGCTTGGAATTGCGTAGCACCTCAGAGAGGTCACTCGCGCTTTGAGGTTGGGAGAGCCCACAGAATTGCCTCCAGGCATTGTAACCTGAAAAAGCAGAATGGCAGCTCATCCGCATCCTTGTGTCCCCACTACCTGCCTAGACTCAGGAGCTTAACAGACCTCTTGGCCCACACTCCATGCCCGCTTCATCCCATGTCACTAAAGCATCAGGGAGACCTTATCAAAGTGGGCACTGGCAAAACATACGCTCTTTTCAAAAGGGTCTGTTTGCATGCACACATTAGAACAACAATTTGGTCTGTCTTTATMCATGATTAAGAGTTCAGCACATTGTAAATATTAAATTTAGCTGACGTTGAAGCTGAGCGTATCAGTGGTTTTCTGGGAATCAAATGTCTGGAATCAAAATCCTGGGAAAAAAAAGGCAATATTGGCCTGTGTTTAACCGAAGAGTGCCAGTTCCTCCCCAAGACCAGGGGCAATCATATCTCTGGATAAAGACATAAAACAAGTCTTGATTAGACAAGATGCTCTCTCTAGCTTGTGTGAAAGCTGAATTTGGTTTCTTGGGCCCGTATCTTTGATTCAGAGCTCTGGCACCTTTTTGTGAGTTATAGCTGAATTTCTGTCTAGTTTTTCTGTGTACTTACTCTGGGTTACAGTTTTTGTGATTCATCCCAGAACATCAAATTCATATCTAGGCCTTTCTGACACCATGTTTTATCTGTTTTTCCCCCTTCACAAATGCAAGTTTGTCGGTCATAACTATTTCAGGGGATTCAGCARAGATAATTTTACAACTGAATCACTTAAACCCCTCATGCTTTCACTTTGCAATACACTACTGCTTCCCCTTAYCTTTAACACATCAGGCCAAACATAATTTTTGCTTTCCTAAATCTCTCAGAAAAAAAAAACAGAAAACAAACAAGAAAACCCTTTTTTAATACAGAAAGCACTTCTTCCAAGAGTCTAATTGCATTGATCCTTCTCCATCAAATTGAGGTGCTGTTTCTACTCTTTGGTATGATAAAAAYCTCAGCACATTCCTGGAGCTTCCTTAAGTAGCTGAGGAAAAAGGAGTATTTTCCRCAGAATTGTGGACTTACACATCTTTACCTGGAAGACCATGGTCCCTTCCCCTCTGCAAGTTCAGGGCYGCTAGATCCAAACCCATTATTGCCGTCTGTTCAAACAGATGATTCCGGAGTTCCTCAATGAGCAGTTCATTCTGTTTCATCAGTTTTGCATGGTCAGACATCATTCCTCGTAAGAGTGGGTCAATACCACCTATGTTCATTGCAAATTGAGAAAAGGCACAGACTTTTKTCAACTAATTCTAACTTTCATGGTGCATACAGCAATATAGATCCTTTCTTCTTCAGTGTTCATTTCACCTAGCCTGGCCAAACAGGACCGAGMCAGCTACAGCTCAGAACTTCTAGAAGGATGACTATAGAGTAACTACAATGATCACTGGATTTCAAATGAAGTTTCCAAGAAGGACAACAGATAGAGCAGAAGCAACACCTTCTGGACACTGAATCCCTTGCTTTTACAGGCAGAATCCCTTTCATCTACTCATCAGGCCCACCTTCCAACTAGGAGSAGTGTTTCCACTACAAGACTTGAAAAGAAAACAATTACATGCTCTCCTTCCTGGTTCAGACAGGAGAGCCAACTTTCCACCCTAAATCTTAGGCTGATATCAGAATTAAGGTTGGAAAGGGTCTCTGGCGTCCCTGCTCCAAACAGGAGCTAGAGCAGGACTAATTTCAAAATTATAGCAGGTTGATTAGGGGTTTGTTCAGTCAGGTTCTGAAAGGCCTGAGAATGGAGGTCCTACCAGGTCTTTCAGCACTTGTCCCAAAGACTCTTTCTTCCAGTTGGAAGGAATTTCCTTTCATGCAACTTATTTCTATTTTGGCCCTGTACACTCAGAGAAATGTTTGGCTCCGTTTCATCTGTAAAGAAMCCTAGCAGGTCGGTGAACTGCAATCAGAGTCACCACTCATGCTGCAGCTGTCTTTTCTACACCCACTTCTTTCTCCTAGTCCACCAGGTCTCTTTCTGCAGTGAGTCCTTACCAGTCTGTTTCCAGGATCTACTGATGCACAGGAGGGTTCAGCTCCAGGTTTACAACTTGCAGTTGTTTTGTTTACAATTAGATATTAATTGACATTAATTTATTAATTATTTAACATCTGTTCCTAGATTTGTTGGTTATATTGTTTTCATAGCCGTTAAGAACACAAATACTAAAACAAAGCAAAATTGGACACGTGTTTCTTCCAGTGTATTTTCCTGTCCTAGCTCAGACTGCACTAGTAATGCTTTGGCCATGCCTATTAATTTCACAGTGATGTAAAGCAACCAGTTTAGACTAACCTAAATTTTGCTTAACTGACATTTGGTGTCTTGAGGCTGATGCTTTCCAGAATAATGTGAGCAATTGCACTAAGTGTGTGTAGTAGGATGCACACACTGTCAGGTCTCATTGAGCTGGAAGACGGCTATCTGAAAAGYCCCTTTGCTCTGCTGCATTTTCCAGTTATTTACTGGTATTTTCAGAATATGGATGCAATTATCACCACTAAAGTGGCTCTTTCTGAGGAGCTGGTGATTGAGGATGTTCAACAGTTAACAACACGTGACTTTTGGCAGAATTCTTTGTCTGTTACAAGGCTGTGTTTGGAGACAATTCTGCCACATTTAGCAGAATGATGATTAGACTTCCCCTAAACATCTTCCAAGCTGAATGGAACTGTAATATGGTTGAGACAAATTACATAATTATGTAAATTGAGCTCAAAACGTTTTTGGAGTTCAAGTCTGGTGTGTCTTAGCAGTTAGCCACCATTTGGACACCTGCTCCAGACCTAGAGCAGGATGACTGGCTGCCGTATGTWCTTACCTTCCATTATAATTCTCCAGGAAGCACAAAAAGTCAAGCGGAGAAGAGTGTGACCTAATAGTTGAAAATTGTCATCTAAACGGTGTACAAGGGGCTGCACTGAAGTATGACCAAACCGAAAAGCCAGGGAAAAAACATTTGCCACTGTAGGATCCACAGTCTCGTTGTAGCCACYGTATGGTGGAATCCACTTGCTAGTCTCCTCTCCAAGCAGCAAGGGAAGGTAGTATTTGTATGTTATTATCTGAAAGAACATACAGGCAGAGCTGGTCAGAAATTATGGCATCAGTTATAAGCAGAAATAGCACCAAATTCAAAATGCAGAACATGAATGTGGAGGATAAAATAACAAAAAAAAAAAAAAAAAAGAAAAAAGAAACCCTACTGAAAGGCAGCATTTGCATCTGAGAGAGGAGGAAGATTTTACATGCTTTCCACCCTGACTGTTACTGCAGAAGATGACAACCAAAAGTGCTGAGCTGGAACAGCCCACATCTACTGAACAAAATACACAAGTCACTTTACACTCCTTTTCCAGGAGATTTTCAACCCCTAAAAGAACTCTGAGATCTGCTAAGCCTGATTTGCCTCATTTTCTGGGAGGCAAAATAGCTATAATCATAGAGATGATAAAGAATGAGCAGTGGCCAGTACCTGGGTTACAGCACCTATGATCTTCCGAGTCTCCTGGTAAATTTTTTCTCCATCCCAGTGAGGATTTAACTTCTTCAGCTCCCTAGCTATGCGATTGTGCTCTCTTAAAAAGACAGTGTGCAAAGCAGAGAGTCCCAGGTTTTCAGCTGCCCGTATATCACCTGCAAATGGAAATATTGCAGGAAATATGTAAGCGTTTTTTTGTTTTCAAGAGCAGATTTATGTTAAAGGAGACAGGCTGGTAATAACGCCTGTGCTAAGCTGTCCRGTGGTCCACACAGTCTCATTTAACACACTGTAGGAAGGCGTTAATGCCAGATCTTTGTTTCCAGCCCAGGCAGGCCATTCACTCTCTCCAAAGCGTTTGGCTGTTTTGGAGGACAAGCTYTTGCCAGTTTGAAAGGTTTTGCAGATTTTTGTGAATGAACTGTGAAAATCTAATGCCTGACTTCCCTATGCACATCAAGGCTTTTGAAAATATTCCTTCATATCAGGTGAGTAAATTCTTTTTGAAAATTTGCCTCAGTTCACATAAGTTATAAATGGTTTGGGGAGATCTGTGAATGTAACTTTAGTACAGACACTGGATGGCATGCAGTGAAGCCTGACAGAAGAGGATGGAAGAAACACCAAGTAACTGCTCCTTCAACAAGTAATTCCTCACACACRTCAAATAAGACAATAATGTACAATAGAATTTACACTCTGTCGTCCTATGGCTGTCTTTGCAAGTGTCATCTCTAATAAACTTTTTATGCTTTGCTTAGGCTGGAGCATTTTTCATTTGAAAAGACTTTCTGAATTKTAAATTTGATTAGAGACTGACAGTTCCAGGTTTATCTGAAATTGGTTAAAAATTTTCAACTATTAAAATGTAGAATGTAGTTCTAGAGACAGTAACYGCATTGGTAAAGAACTATTAACTGTTAGGATTGAGTTGAAAACTGGTGAACTTAGGTAGGAAAATCGCTTAGAAGTTTCAAACAATGGTGGTGTTGAGTTTTGAAAAGAACTTTTAAAGGTTGGATGACTTCCTATAAGAATTTGAGGAATTAAACATGTAAATATACTTATATTCAATTAAGAAGTTCTTGTCAATTCTTGTTCTATTAATTTTCCTCTGTCTTTTGCCTTACAATATCTTCCAATGACTCATACAAATACAATGACCTATCAGTCACTTGGCTGCCACGACCTTTTTTGACTTTATAGGCCACAGAAAGACTTTTTTGTTGATCACATCAGCAAAGAACTGTACCCCAGACGTGCCTTACCTGCTTTAAAACAGGGGATGTTCATGCTCTTGTTTGTGAATACACAAACACTAACTGTTTTATTCTCAAAGGGCAGTAACTCCAGCCCTGCATCAGTAAAATTCTGGTTGACTGCCATCAAACCCAGGTCATTGGTATGATTTCGAAGTCTCTTTGCCACATACTGTTCGCTGCCATATACCATGCTGGCATCAAGGAATGAGCTAACTGCATTGATCTGCTCTCGAATAAATGTCTTGGGGTTGCAYGTTGAGGCTGTCTGGGTGAATGGCATACAAGAATTTGATCTCTGCATCCGTGGGTCATCTGGAGGGAACTAAAACAATCATAAGCAATGCCAAATGTTATTTTTAGGGTGTTTTCAGGTAGCGTGGGGTAGAATGAAGGTTGTTATACCTTAATTGGGAAGCAAGGGGACTTGAAGACACAGTCAGTCTCACACTGAAGCTCCTCATTCGCTCCTGCACTATTGAAAGGGGCCAAATCCATGTCGTGGGTGATCCACTGGCCCCAGTGCATGAAGACTAGAGAGAGATCTTGATCGTGAGTGGTGCTATTGTTGACTGTTCGAGCAATTTCATTTGACACTTTTCGAACCTGTAGAAACCCAAGAAGACAGGGTGGTTCATCTCTTTACCAAGGTGAATTTGTCCCTCACTACAAGACTGAGACTTATCCATGAGACTGTGGATAATACTAGCTATCTAAAGATGCTTCTATTGGATGCAATAAGGGCAGTTTTCACTCTATTGTTTGAGCAAAAATAAAGGTTCTCACCAGAGGGAGTGGAAATCCATTGTAAAGCTTTCCTTCACTTGCTCCTCTGGGAACAGATACTCCATCCTCATATTCTGCAGGCAGCCAGCGAGTGAATGCTTGGTTGGAGGCTCCAAAATGAAAATGCTTTCTGGAACATTGAAAAAAGAAACACAAACACGTGTATTATCTCAGAAAGGGAAACGTTTGTAGATGCATTTTTCTTGCAGCCCTCTAAATTCTGTCCGATTCCTACTCAGCAGAGGTGATAGCTGCACTTTGTCCAGAAAAGACTGAGAAAACAATATCAAGAGTATTACTGTAGGTAAAAAACAAGCTTTCTGAGCTTAAAAGGACTCCTCATGCAACTTTATTGTTTTTCTTTGGATTTAAACCTCTGTTTATTATTGTATCTGTTTCAAGTGCTTCCACATGAAGATTCTCTGAAGTGCTGGTTGGAAAAGGCCTCTGCAGTTTGTTTTCCAGCATTACTGCTACCAATGATCAGAGTGGCCCTGAGCTGAGGCCTGACAGCCTCCAATAAAGACCTCACACACCTCTGTGGAGACCTGCCACAAGGTTATCCCTTCAGGGATTTTGTTCCTTCATGTCCCACATGAACCTCCCTAGCTGCAGCCTTTGGCTGTATCTCTTTATTATATTGTTCCATKCTACTGAAGTGACTTTGACTTGTCATTTCATAACTGCCCTTCAAACAGAAGAGGTGACAAGTAGATCTCCCTTCAGCCTCCTCATTGCCAAAATGCTGAAGAACTTTTTTTTCAAGTCTCAGAATCACCGTTGCCAGAACTAGAAAAGCCAAGAATGAAAATCTTCATTCACTTCCCATCCCTGTATAATCACAAGGAAGTGTATKTGGTAGCCACACAAACATGAGACCTGTAAATATTTCCATTTGCTTTATGCAATGCATGAACAAGAGGCCAAGTCTTATGTGCCATTGTGTTTACTGAGTATAATAAATACGAATTATTTGTACCCATGATGTCCAGGAGAGCTCAAAAAAAAAAAATCTGCTCATATATTCAGTCCAAGATATCTGAAGTTTGACTGCCAATGCACTCACAAGTGCAACGCATGGTGTCTGCTTGAGTCCRAATTAAATAATATAATACACATTACAGACTAAAGAGGAGTGCTTTCCTGAGGCCTCAAAACGAGCTAAAAGGTTGTGCTGGAATTGCATTCTAACTGCCACAACCCCGATATCCGCTCTGCTCTATCTCTACCTCCCCAAGAAATAGCTTCCCTTCAGTGTAAGCAGCATGCAGAGATCAGTGGGCTCAGATTTGAAAGTTTTGTGGAAAAGACATCTTTTTTTTTGTGCCAAGCATAAGTGGAAATGAAACAGCTGTACAAGCCTCACCTAAATGAGCATTTCCTTCTTGTTGCTCTGTGAAGGAAACTCATGCAGAATGACCTAAAAACATCTMTTCTGAGTCAGTCCTTAGGCAGGAGATGCTCTTTCTCCACAGACAGATCCTACCTGTTGTTGCACTCTCCAGAGATTGTCCGGTAAATGCCATCATCTTTGCATTTGATGGAATAAATCTGGGAGTAACAGCCTGTTTCTTTGGAAATCATTTCCTTCTGTCTGCTGTCTAGTAGATCTACAAGAGAATCCAATAACAAAGTTTCTCTTTTCCRTCTCTCAACAACATGAGAAATTTAGCACAAAAAACAGAGCAGGTCTATGCTGAATGAGTCAACTACAAAATCCCACAAGATAATAATACTTTTGGAGAATTTTAAATGTATGTCAGCTCAGTGCCTTTTCTCTAAAAATGGTGCATGGATGGAGAAGGCTCATGCACTAACTGTGGAGGTCTAGAGTCAGCAGATTCTCTGAGAATATCCAGGACTTTTTATACTGAGAGTTCAGGTTACGATTCATCTGCCTAAAAGTAGACATCTACCTTAGGGTGGCTAGATCATCACTTATCCCTTTTTTGTTACAGATTTTTTTCACCCAGGATGTATTTGTTGAAGAGTATGTACACAGGAAGTTGCTCCATAACAGCGGATATTCAGGAATTGATTTCCCTGGAATAATTTGTGTCTCCATGTCCCTCTACACGCCATTGACCATTAGTTCAACCAGAGTCACTCTTGCAACACCTGAGTCTACCCTTGTCAGCCACAATTGATGGAGAGTCCAGCGAGTGTTTCATTCTCTCTAATGGGCAGATTCTAAGGAACACAGGATAAAATACTTCCAGCAAGTGCCTATTCCTTCCTATGGAAATTCTGTTCAGCCTAAAACCTTAGCCTCATGTAGCCCACKTCAGCTGAGATCAATCCATGGTCATGCAGAGATTTGAGAAACAATGAAAMTCGTAGCCAGACATGAGATTTAGGAGTGAGGAACAATGCCACAGGGCTCAGTTCTAAGAAAGCCTTCCAAAGGAGCTGCTTTGCACCAGTAAATTATCAATGTGAGCTGGGTTGGCAGGGACACTATTGCTGCCCACTATATGGAAGGGCTGCCTTGCAGTCTGCACTGCAGTAGATGAGTGTTGAACCCAYTGCGTCTTGGTGGATACGCACTCTTGTGAAGTTACAGAATTTAGCTCTAGTCATGGAGATCAGTTGTTTTAGCATGTGGTTTTAACTTCTCCAGCAATTGATTATCAAGATGACATGTTGTTCTGTCAGTCCCCCAGGAGAAGGCATCTAAAGTCACACTAGATGTGAGGTGAGCCAGAACTGTGGAGATTTACCATCTGGATTTGAACTGCTGATTTGAAGCTGTGAATCGCCTCTGAATCATCTCTGGGGCAAGGGAATCTGGTGTGGCATGGGACAATCTCCCCAGAGAGTAACATGGAGCACCAGCAATATTTTACACCAGAACAGAAGCAAGACCAGAAGCTCTCAGGGCAATACACTCAGGACATTTTGTGTGAGAAGTCAAAGGTGAGCTTCTAYTCCCTGCAGCCAAAATTCCCACCACTCAATGCATTTTGTCCCGATTTACCTCACTTATTTTTAATCACCTGTTGTTAGCTTTCTCACCTTAAGTGGTTTTTATAGTCAGAAGTTGAGAAAGGCACTGCTAAAGTTTGATTAAAATAGAAAGTATCTTCGGTCAGCCTTTGCACATGCTTTTTTTCCAGGTCTGGTCACTTTGAGTCTCAAAGTGGAAAGAGCTGGGGCCTTTATTGCAAAGGGTTTTATCACCACTTATTTGAAGAGTGACGGAACTGCTCTTCGAGCTTTTCTATGTTTTTTTTTTTTCTTTCTTTTTTTTTTTAAACACTATTAGCTGTATGCAACATTTTTGTCTAAAGCACATTACCTGTAACATTAAATTCCCCTTTCCCATACATCTCAAACTTCCTTTTCAGTAATTTCAAAGTAGTTTCCAAATAATCAGCCGCACGCACCGCAGATCTGGTTTTTCCTACTGGTTCTTTTAAGTGCTTCAGGAAATCTGTTGGTGTGGCATCCTTCTTCTCCAGCTTTCTCTTTGAGCTAAACATAAGAGAGTCCCAGTAAGCATCATCTCCAAAATCGGACCTGTTGTGCTGGGCTGGGTCATGTTCAAGAACTCAGACACAGTATCACTGCTCTGCTCACCTACAACAAGCTGACTGCTCATCAAGTTTACACATGAGCAGTTCTTAGCTGAATYATGGTAAACAAATTATCATGATCTCTTGTTTTCAATTTGTATATAAGGATTCGTTGTGATGAGAACATAATACATACAAAGCTGGGATGATACATGTAAAACTGATTTATTCAGTGACTGGATATCCTTTTGCTTTAATATGTCTCAAGGTAGTCTACAAACCAAGAGACTGTCTTGGTCATGTAGTCTGTCTTTCTGGCCCCAGAGATTCTTATCCCCCAAGGAAACAAATTCAATAGGGTTAGCAGACAGACACTCCTTTCCAACTGCCTGGTCCCTGATCTGTGAATCTGGAGCTATAAGAAGAGGGTAGCTAACTTCGGAGTTCCACCAAAGCTTATGAATAAGAGGAGCAGGGGGGCTGGACTAGATGATTTCTAGGAGTCCCTTCCAACCTCAACCATTCTGTGATATTCATCTGCACAACTATTTCATGAGTTTGCTTCTTTTTGARAGAGGCAGAACTTCAGCAGCCAGGAGAGGGCTCGGAGTGTACTTAGCCTATTCATACCACTGCAGACTACCACATATATCAGCAGTGTAAGTAATGCAGGATGAAGGGTGGTCCTGCTGCTGACAGAGGACACTAGAGGCCAGGAAGGCTGAGCAGAAGAATCTGTTCAACTACCTCAAGGAGAATCCTTGAGCAAAAGTGTCTCCATAATAACTATGCAGCAGGCACCAGAAGACATTCATTTCTCCCATTGCTTTGCAATGTTAAGCCCTTCCCCTTCAAGCAAAAGGGACTCACCTTTCTCGGGCAAGTAAGTATGCTGCATCTACGAGCTTCTTGGCTTCACGAATGCTGCTCAAAAGAGAGGAGTCTGACAGCACCTTTGAGTATCCTACTCCAGAAAAAAGAAGAGAGCAGGGCATAAGGACACTTTGCGATGCACATCAGGAAGTAAAGGAGCAAGGTTTTTCCCTACATCATACTTTGAATACCTTGGACACTCAGAATGAGCATCTGGGCACCATTTAGATTCATTATCTTGATGAGTTACATCTTTCCACAAGAGCTAATTCTGCCTAGTTGTTCTTCTCTTTTTTGCTTCTTCTGCATAAAGCTTCTGTACCACAATCTTTGCACTCATCCTTGCAAGCCTCTTTCAGGAAGGATATAAATTCATAGGGATGTCTGAACTTATGCCTGCCTTTGCTGGAGCTTTTTACTTTCCCATTTGGAGTTCCCATTTCCATGTGGCTGCCACACTGAGCAAAGGTTAGAGGCAATCCCATTGCAGCATTCCAGATGAGGCAAAAATGTGCAGTATGAAGATGTAACTAGAGGCTATAGGAAACTTTCCTAATTTAAATTTAAATGAAGATAGCTCAACTAGTCCTTGGGCTTYCCAGGCACCCCAGGCAATACCTAGGTACATATCTAAAATAACTCAGAGGAATTTCCCTTAGACATCTCCCCTTCTTCACTGGGAGGTCAAACCAAGCGTGGCCTCTACATTGCAGATGCCCAAGGGAAGTAAGATGAATCTCATGTTAGATAAGCCAAAGTTCATAATAGGCAACATCTCTCTTCATCCACACTAGGTCCCTCTCAACTGACCCTTGTTCTCAAGGCACCAACCTACTGAGAGGYACCACAGGGGAACAGGAGCAGCTTACTGCCATACAGGTTAGTATGACAGGAGCACAGCCTCCAGTTACCATGTAAGCAACCACATAAAACACAAGGAAGAGCAGCAAAAAAATGAGAAAGAGGACAGAGCAAAGGAGTTCCAGCAGTAGTAACAAGAGGTGCAACAAGGAAGTGAGCAAACATACAACACAGACTCAAAAAACTGCAATTACCTTTGAGAACTCAAAACGCAATGGAAATTGGCTAATAGTTTCACGATGATAATGGGAACTGAATGGGAACAAGAAGCTGCATGGATATGCAGAGAGTGATTGGGTAAGCACTGACTATTAAAAAAAAAACCTGAAAACTGGCTAGAGAAAAAAGAAATGGATAAAAGTGAAAAAAAGAAGCCATTAACTATCAGATCCTCTTAATGTCGAGATGACCCTAACATTGAATTCTGGCAGCTTGGAGGAAAGCCTGCTCTCCCCAGGACTCCATTCAGCCCCAAATCCTCCACACAATATTACACCCTTCTAATCACAGTGGTGGCAGCAGCACAGACAGAGAATCTTACCACTTGATGAGGAGGTCCTTGCCCCAGGTATGCACAACATGATGACAAATCCCAAGAGAATAATTCCTGGTTTTATTCCTGGACAGAARCGCAACAGAAGTCCTCTCAGCAGAAACTGGATAGACAGGCTTTCAATGAAGCCTCAAAAGAAAGTGACTCTTTCAGTTYGGTTTGAATATTTCTTTCAGGATATAGGAAGAAAATGCAGACTGCCTCTGAGCATGTTTGTAGCTTGACTGAAGAAATTGTATGTGTAGAAAGGACATGAGCCATACGTGTGATGCAGGGATAAAATAACTGCCAGGGAGGAGGTACCTAAATATTGTTCAGCTTTCAGTAACGCAGGCTGTTGGCAGGAGAACTGGAAGAAGGCAATATCCTGATATTATGAATGGTAAGGACAGTCTATTGCTAGCATAGAGGAGGTTAGACAATCTGTCCACTGTCCTTTTGTCCCCACTGTCCCCTATATCTTCTTATTGATATGCTGAGCAAAACAAGCTGCTAAGACTAGCACGAGTTCTCCATTGTTTGATTCCTTTCATTAGCCTCCTTCATACTCCCTAATATTTGTCACTAAAGTTTTCCACCCTAACACTAGGGATGCGTATCATTTGAACTCAGTCTTCTACACATGAGGCAGAGAGCCTTCCCTGAAAGAAGTCAACCAGAAAGTTACTGTTGGAGACATTTAAGGTGTTTTAGGCAATATTTTAATCAACTCAAATCAGAATAGGAAATACTGGCAAAGTTTGGAAGAACAGACAAAATTTATACAGTGGAAAAGGGTGTCTTATAACATGTGGAAATTTTTGAATCATATTTTCAGTAATTTAAGGCTGCTTATTCCTAGCAATATTTTACTGCAGGTTATCACCATATGAAAGAGAGAAGTCTTTCCTGTCACTGATTAAAATACATGTATTTCATGTATGCCTGAAGCAAAAGAAAGGATGAAGCCCCCRGAGGTCTACTTTATGTCCTCAGGTTTATCCAAAAAGCGCACCAATACCCACACCAGAAACATAAAAACACTTAAATACAGAAATATAATTGAAACACACCAATCTCACCTGCCATGTCTGCAGAAGAGCTGGTGGGGCCTTTGAAACAAGACGGTCTTTTATAGCACTTAGCTCAGGAAAGAAATTAGCTGGACCTGATCTRGGTGTGACCAAAAGAGGAGAACTTGGGACAAGACTGAGCCAAGAGGAAACAGTTGTTTTACTTTCCTGGATTAAGCAGCACGTTGCTCCATTCCTTGTGTTAGAGGTTAACTTCCTTTTTGAAAAATCATTTAAAAAAGGAGAAAAAATCAAAAAAAAAATCCAGGAACCATCTTAGTGTTACTATGGCAAAAATGATGGTGGAATTTGCTTTCTTCTCACCTTGTCCCTGATATGACTGTTGCTTTGGAAAATGTGCCACATGCCAGCACTGATTCTGTGGGCCACACCAAAGTCCGAATATTGTAGGTGTGAATGAGAGATTTGTGGGCTGCATATTATTTCTGTGTTCCTGTCCTGTAAATTCACAGTATCTGACATGAACTGTAGACCATGGGCATGCAGAAGCAAGATATATTTGACATATTTATGCATCAGATTGCTATACGCTTACATATAAACTTGCTACACTTACAGTTTGTAAGTGGTAATCTGATTTTGAAACTCATAGATTTAGTGGGATTGAATAGACATGATTTATACATAAAGGATAAAAAATGGGATATTTCATCCTGAAGTATCTGGAAAGGACCATGAAGTTGGATTGACCAAGTCGTTCCACACATATTTCAAGAACTAAAAAATGGGAAGAAAGGCTGTACTTCAATGTATAAATGTTAAGTCAGCATAAAGAGTTTACTTCTTGAACACTAGTCCCTCCAGATCTAAGCTAGATACCTTCACACGGTCTTGTCTTCTTTGACACTCATAAGGCACCTCCATCCTATCAAAGCTGCTGGGAAATTTGAAATCAGTTTTTCTGCCACTCTGTGGTTTGACTTTTAACTCTACTTGGAAAACTGGAACAAGTGGCAATAGAGGTAAATTAAACCCAGAGGAATAATGAACACAAACAAACAAACAAACAAAMAAAATACTGAATGTCAGGATCAATAATCCCCAGAAGATGTTGCTATAATAAATATTCATCTTTCATCTCTTGGAACTTTCAGCTCAAGATCAGAAAGGAGGGTTGGATGAGTGTAGGCAATGTTATCATGAAGTAGTAAATGTTTCTCATTAGTAGGACATATGTCACACTCAAGGAGCACAACATTTCTTACAATAGAAAAACATTAATGAAACTGTCATTTGTGGGTTCAGAAATAAACAAAAGGAGATATTTTTTCACGGAGCACACAGATGTAAAACTCCTAGACACAGAACGAGCCCGAAGACTAAGCAGACAAATTAAAGGAAGAAATAACCTTCAAAAATGTATTAAACACAAAGACTCCACTACAGTTCAGTAGTCCAAGACTGAAAAATGTGCAAAAACACCAAGTGGAGGAGAAAAAATCACTGCATCTTTGCTGAGATAAATTTGCTTCAGCAGGTGCATGTTAGCGACCATTGGCTATGACAAGACATGTAGACAATTGATGTGATCCAACACAGTCATTTTTATTAGAGGTATTACCAGGTCACAGTAGCCCAAGAAGATTACAGTTACTAGTTTACTTTACCTTTGTATRCATGGCCCAGGATGATGTTTGCCTTTTTTCACAGCAATATGGGAGTGTTTGATGCCATCATGTAGTCCAGTTAAGCTTTTGATTTGCTTTCATAGACAGGCTAATAAGTTGCTTGTCTGATGTCTGTAAGTCTGATTATTCTTGTATAAAATCCGTATGCACCTCTGTACTGTACTTTAACTATTTTCCCTTCCATCAAACAAGTTCTTAACAAAACCAGCAGATAATGACAGAACCTCAACTGTCACTCGTGGCTCTCCAGCACTCAAGAGTGACGCACCAATATTCCTTATCTAAGCAACAGGTTATTTAATTGGCATCTGCCCTTTAGTATTTTCTTCTGGACTATGCTTTCAGAGTTTGTTTCCAATAACATGATTTGAAGCCAAAAGCATCACCAGAAAGCATCTGTGATGCCTTTTTTCTTCTTTCTCTGTAGGATTTGCTGCCCTGATTGATCTGGCATGATTACTTGACAAGCCCATGTTGACACTGGCTCATCACCCTAATCAAACATTTTRTCAGTACTTGCAGAAGTTTTTTTCCAAGATTTACCTACATTTCCTGGTTCCTTTTTCTGAAGGTCAGTACTGAATTTGTCCTATTCTGTATCCTTCACTTCCGCTACCACTTCTCAGAGAATAATGTCATAAGCTCGAAGAGTTTCTCAAAGAATTCCAAAGTGTTTCACCAGATCCTTTAACATCAGGACCAATATTTCTCAAAACATCTAACTCATGACAATTTAAAGCTAGGATCTTTTTTTTTGTCAGTATTATGAAAAATAGCCAAATTGCATTGAGCTTTACAGTGAAGACGGATGCCAGCAAGGTAATAAGAATTTTTTGCTTTCAAACTTCATAGGTTGGTAGCTCTCCAGCATATGTGTTTTGCTTGTTTCCCTTGATGCACTATTGAGTTCATCAAAGGAACGCGTGGGGACCAAGCTGATGGGAGAGACAAGGGTCAGGTGCTGAGCTTCCTTGTGTGGAGGTCGGAGCTGGGGGTCATTCCTGTCATGGCAAGTTGTACTGGAAGGAAGCGAGGAGTGGCAACGGGCAGGAAGCCACAGGCGGTGCCCAGATGCTGCTGGTAAGGAATAAAATGTTAGCCAATGTGCCCTGGTGCTCTGCGAGCTTCATAGTGTCCCACATCTACTAGCCCTCCAAGGCCACCCCAGTCCTCCATACCCTGCCAGGTTGCAAGGACTTCCAGTGCACTTAATAATCTCAAAATTTTCAATGGCACATCAATACTTCAGCTTCAGAATTGTACAAGAATCAAACTGCATAATGCATTGGCACGCAGCATTTCTGAAGTGAAATTTTAATTCTGAACAACAACAAAAAAACAACTAAAAACCTGATGTACCTAGAAATAATGCTGTTTTATTGAATCAGAAATAATTCATTCTTTGAAGAAACTTTCCTCCCCTTCCACTGCAGCACTGCTTTTTATGACCATCCTACATAAGTTGGTAAAAGTTGTTGAGGGCAGRTCAGAAGTGATTGACACTGAAAAGGAAATTCTTGTTGACAATCAGGCATGAAAATCCCCAAAGATCAACTGACCAGAYCTTCCTACTGTTTAAATATTTTCTTTTTTATTATTATTATAATATAAATAAAAAGAAAATACAAGGAAGAAAATTTCCAAATCAATATCTATGTTAAATTTGAAAAAAAAAAAAAAAAATGTTAGGTTTGCAGGAGCTGAAAATACTATGTAAATGTCTCTCCTGTAAAGAGAAATTCAAAATCAAAATCAGAAGCTGGCCACCAGTATCACAAGTGAGTCTAATCATCCTGATTGAAGCTCTGWCTCATCTACCTAACACTCTGCATACAAAATGTACGCATAGAAGCCCACAGAGGTGATATTCATTTAACTTCTTGCTGAAATGAAAGGAGCTAAATATTTAATAGGTATGAGATGCCTGAATATATCTGTTTGAACTGTTAGGGTTGAGATTTCACCCATCAGGAGGATAATGCTTGCAATTCCAGGTATCTGAGGGCTGCTTTACTATATCTTTTTTATTTTTCATGTGTATTATTGCAATTGCATTGGTGCCTTAGAGAGTCTGGGAAACCTCAAAACTACAGAGACATTTGAAGGCAACCACCATGATTTGCAGGTCAGCTGATTGCCCTATCCCAAAATCAGAGTCACTGCCTATTCGCCTTGCACCATTGTCACAGGTGTGACATTAGATGTGCCCTTCCAATTACTCCAGGAAAAATTCTCCAGAAAACTGTGTCCAGCACATGTTCTGGTCCAAGAATGTGTTGGCCTTATGATGTGGAGTTTGTAAATTCATGGAGTGAGCACAAAATAGAGTGAGCACAATAAAATAGATGGGCTACTTGTACTCAAACTGTAGACAAGTAGAGAAGAAAAAGTTCCCAGCAGTTCAGAGATGCCATTTAATCAAAAACATTTTGTCCACCTTTATAAACGAAAGTTTACAATACTAATAAGGAAGTTCAAATCTCTGTTGAGAAGCCCATCCAGTTCTATGCTCAAGGCCAGGGCATCATTGCCATACTGAAATGCAGAAGGGAAAGTCCGTAATTCTCCACAGCTTCTCTTCTCTCCGCAGTCCCAAAGATTGCAAGGGCATGGTGTGTCTTGGTGGGCTGTGGTATACCAACCTACCTCTGCTCGGAGCAGTGGACTCAGTTTCAAGGACACAAAAGCTGGGGAGGCCACCTGTGCCTTTCTAGCACATTGAGAGGGCACACCCAGCAGGACAATAAAATCTTCATCTCCTCCTCAGGAATCAAACTTCTTTCTGTTCCATTTTTTAGTAGAAAGGTCCCTCCATTCCATTCCATCTTTTTCTACTCTGTGATTCTATGCTCACTCTGGAGAGTAAGAGATGGCTTCTCTAGGGCTGAGGTTGGCCTAGCAAGAGACGTCTGCTCTCTCTTATACCCAAACAGAAGGCTTTTTTCTGTTCACATTATCTTCTTGCTCTGCAGCCAATTCCCATCTTTTTCCATAGTCTGGGACAGCTGCAAACCAAAACAGGAGCAGTAGTTCAGCCTCTAAATTCTAGAGGGAGAACACATGTCTTCAAAGGCTCTAGATTGTTAGTTGAACAAAGAAAGAAGAAACTCCAGATGTCTCTCTAGTTTTCAGATTTGTTATACCAGCTGGGGGGTTTGGGAGCCATACACTGCAATGGACTCTTCCCTGTATTTKATTTCCCTGGCTTGATTTCTAGAGAGGGTTAACACACAAGTGGCTGAGGAAATATAGCACAAATTTCTGTGTTTGACTCAGTGCTTAACCACATGAGGGCATGTCTGTGTTAACTCCAGATACCAGACATGTAGAGGTTCATCATATTCACCCTGCACAAGTGGAAGGGCTTCTCCAAAATCCAGTAAGCCATATTA